AAGCAAAAGGAGGATTCGGCATCAAATGGATCCGCAGAGGAGCGTACTGTATCAGACACATATGGGATCAAGACCACAAGTCCTGGAAGGAATGGAGAGAACTGAGAGGGTTCTACAAGACCTACCCAACGGCCCAGACTGCTTATTGCTTATCCAGAAAGCAATTCCCCAGGATTGGTTGACACTGCTAACCCAGCGACCTTTTCCCAAAAAGACCTGGGTAACAAATCAACCTAACGGGAAAAGTTTTCTCAGAATTGAATCATGTGACGAAGACAACCAGTTGGTATGCTCAGAGTGGAAAATGGGAAAGAAAGAGCTGCAGAAAGAGGAACAGGAGAACCACATTACTCTATCCCCAGATCATGCTCTTCAGATCATGATCAAGGAAAGAGTGGAAGAAACGACCCGGGGAAATGTCTCACACTTTTCCCCCATTCTGAATGGCACTCCGCTGTTACACTGCAAAGTGAACCCCACAGCTACAGGATGGAGGCACGCCACCCCAGAACAGCCAGTAGTCAAAATACTTGAATACTCGGTCTCACTGGGCTACCGGCTCAAATCCAAAGCTAACGAACGTACGACGAAAGTTAAGGAGACATGGGATAAATCTCTGCAGCTGATGAACCTTCCCAGAGCCAGCTTTACCCAGGTACAGGATCTGGGAAGAAATCTGAAGAAGTTCCCAATCATCAAGATGGCCAGCCTGGAGTGGCTCTTCACATACCAAAGTGTTCCGACGGGCCGCGACGGCCAAATGGTGCGTTATCAAACGAATGAACGTGAGCATTCGATGTGCCCATTGCGAGGACTTACAAATAGAAGACATTCAACACCTATGGTGGTCCTGTCCCAAGGCCCGGGAGTTCTGGTCTTGGTGGCAGAACATCTGGACTCAGGCTTACGCAAACACGCCCAAGGACAGAAAGTGGGATAAGCAACTGATATTGGGAGGGCTAGACATGTCCCTCCCCAGAATCGTGTACATTGCCAGACTGACAGGTCTGTGGTTCCTCTGGTTGGAAAGAAACAGAGTTCGCTTCTCAGAAGAGGAGTATTCCCTGCACAGGATCCAAGGTAATATGACGAGAACCCTGAAGGAAGCCATCCAAGCCGACTGGCGGAAGATGTCCCAGTCCAAGGTACCTGAGGAAAAGAGGAAGGAGAACTTTCAGAAGATTTGGTCAAAGGACTACTGTTAGGCCATCCCGGATCAGAAAGGTAGGTATATTCAGCCGACTGTTGGAATCCAGAAGAGCATGGGCCATTGAACCTGACTAAGCATTCAATTTCATAATTTTTTTTTTTTTTTTTTTTTTTTTTTTTTTTTTTTTTTTTTTTTTTTTTTTTTTTAAAAAGGGCTTTTTTTTTTTTTTTTTTTTTTTTTTTTTTTTTTTACTAAACAGGGCCTTATGGTCCCTCAATTTCATAATTTTATTTTTTCTTTTTTGCTTTTTGTTACTTTTTCTCTTCCATTTTCTTTGACAAACGGGTAGAAAGAATTTCTGCGGTGTTTGTAAATATAGTACACCTTAGGAAAGGTGATGGTGGAACGATCACCAGCAATTTAATGGAAAGCCCTCGGGCTCTCCCAGTCTACCTTCCACAGATAATCCATTCAGGAACAGAGCTAATTTAGACAACTCAGATTTTTTGAGTAGCCACTATGCTGCTCCAGATTATGAAGGACGCTGGGCCTGTTTCCCAGCAAGCTGATCACCTCAGCCATGGAAGCTGAGTCAGATTCGTAACAAATTCTTTATGGGACGCTGGACACGTTTTCCAGCAGATTCTTTGATCATTGGACAGTATTGTATAAGGGACGCTGGACCCGGTTTCCAGCAGGTGCAGCTCCCCACCAATAGATGGAGTCTTCTACACAGGAACTCACTTAAGGGGATGCTCTTATCACCTCTTCAAGTGAGGCTTCCTGGCCTGAAGTTAACAGCAA